GGTCTCTGTGAGAATAAATCCAAAGATTTGGAGGCGAATAACGCAGGAGAACAGTTTTTTTGCGATCGCTCGTGTGCGACTGTACGGAGCACATCAGTATCAGACTGGAATATACATAAGCAGCAATGAAGCTGTATGGCGCATTCTTTCACTTCCGATACATGAACGAAGTCCAACTGTCGTTCACCTAGCAGTACACCTCCATCTACGATCTCACTCTCCCTCCATTTACGATCTCATTTGGTAGCGTAAAATAATTTTTTTGCCTAATAGCCGGCTGGTAGCTTACCGGAGCGATGCCCATCCGTTGCTGGTAGCTCAGCTGGCATGCAACTGTTGTATTTATTTTCCTTTTCCTTCATATATTGCGGCATAGTTGGCGAGGTGTTTCCAACCTCCAGCTGATGTGCATCATGATGATGCTGACGCCTGGAGAACGGACAACACGTTTATCTCACAGCTGTAAATGTTCATCAACTGGCCCTGAATTCACCGGCTAAACTACTAACTGCTTTCTTCACGTTCTTTCAACATGACACGTTTGCGAGACAACTGCTGTATTCCGATATGTCCACGTATTACCTTTGGAATCTGAGTAGAAAATCATTTAAACGACGCAAACGAGGAGTGTGGGTCGACGGACAACCAGGCATCTTTAAGGTAACAACCATAGGCATACTGTACACCATGCATTCTAATCAAGGGGAGTGATTTTTTCTTCACAGGTTGTTGGTCAATGTGCCTGATCCTACGTCTTTTCAGCAATTGAGAATTGTCAATGGCATTACACATGCCACCTTTCACAGTGCATGTCAAGCTGAATTTATTGGAAAACGACCGGCACTGAGATTTTTGCATTAATGACGCGTGCAACACGTCACACCCTAGTCAAATTCGCACATGGTTTGTCATCTTTTTGTTCGTTTGCTCTCCTTCTGCAACAGAGCTCTGGGAGCAATAAAAACCCGCACATGGTTGAAGATATTTCCCTTCGAATAAGCAAGAAAATGTTGATAGGAAACTGGAATTTCCAGCAGAGATATACAACGAAGCGTGATAATGATTGAAGATTTGTGATTAGAAATCACGAACAAAGCTCTAAGTCATTTGGGAATGTCATCAACCTTTCCATCTGCTGCTGCTTTGTTTGATGCTGAATTGCGTCGAGAACTAAATTACAACACAAGCGATCTTCCGTCTTATGTGCAATCCAACCTTCCTAAGTTGACAGTTGAGCAGAAAGGCATTTGCCATCAAAAACGCAAAATGTCAATGAGGTGGTTGGAGAAATCGTTTCTTGGGGCAGTTAGATCACCAAACAACATAGCCTTAGCTCCCGCGTCCTCCGGAATAGATGCGACATTGCTACCCGGTGGAATAACGGCTCATTCCGCTCTGAAATTGCCAGTGGACATGAAATTCATTGAAACTTCTACGTGCAACATTTCTAAATCGTCCAGCATGGAAAAAGTACTGAAGAAGTGTCAATTTATTGTTTGGGATGAATGCACAGTGGCGCAGAAAAATCACTGCAGGCACTTGATCGATCTTTGCAAGCTTTACCAGGCAACGGCAAGAGATTTCAGCAAACGTTGCCTGCAAGTCCTCGATTTCCACCAGCGGACGAAATAAATGCATGCCAGAAATACTCTTCTTTGTGGCTTCACTTTAAGACGGGAAAATTAATTACAACTCTGTCTGTCTAGCTTCACCATGATCACTCAGCTGCGGTATTCTCATATCAATTATATTGGGAACGGAAAGTTGCCCGTGTGTTTAACCTCCGGAAGAATTTCATTGCCTCATAACTTCTGCAATTTCCTGACGTTAAAAGAAGTGGTGGAAAAAATATTTCCCATTTTTCAAACCCATTATCCGAATGACGATTGAGTGAGTGAACGTGCTATTCTTGCGACCAAGAACAAAGACGTCGATGAACTGAACATTTATTCAGTCTAATCTTCCAAGCGAATCAGTCACATATACGTCTGTCGATACTGTGTTGGATGCAGATGAAGCGGTCAATTATCCAACAAAATTTTTGATTTCACTGAAGCTGCCAAGGATGCCACAGCGTGTACTTGCATTTTCAGCGGAGGCTATCGAAGACTGCGCAGCGACCCCATATCAGTGTACCAAATATTTAAGAACCCAACCATGTGTGACGCCATTTGCTGAAACAGCCACAACACTCAGCTCAGGGGCAGCACTTCGAAATTGAGGGAACCATATAGCCGTTTAGAGTGTCGACGTATTTACTTTTCTTTTCGGGTTTAACAACCCTGGAAGTCGCTCCCAGACAGTTGTATTCTCCCCCATTTTGGACACTTTCAAAAAACGATTGGATGTTGCCCTTGACTCCCAGCACTTCGTTACCTAAACTATGCCATTTTGGATTGCGTTAATCATGCCCTTCTACAGGATGTATATATCATATTGACCCAAGAAGGCGGCATATAAGGGAACGACCATACTTCACTTTTCTCACGGTCACTGCACCCCGTGAATTTCTTTAGGTTTACACACGATTTTTATTTTACACTAACGTTATTTATCAACGCATTTATCTTGGTAGACGCTCGGTAGATGACTCATGTACTTCAGTTTTATTGTACTCACCCCAGCCATCCTACGGGACGTGTCAAGTACTTGCTTTTATCCCTTGATAAATCATTTTTCATCCATGGTTACCGTATCGACCATTAGTTCTTCGTTAGTGAACACAACATCTCAAACAAATGGTTCATCACCTGTTATAAATCGCGAGGGAATAGTGACATGGTTGTATAGTGGCAAATTAGCGAGTATATTTTGCAAGTCACCCTTGAATTGTTCGCTGGGAGACACAGGAACTTCGACTGTGTAAAGGTTGAAGTCCCACACTAAAAGGACGGGACTGCATAACTGTGCAAGGGCTCACTTCTATAGCATAAGCCAGGCGGTGATCCGTTTCCACATCACCACGTCTGAGGTGCAGACGGCACCAAAGAAAATCGACAATGCGTTTCCGACTTGTCGACATACATGTCTGTTGGTAATACAAGAGCACTCCGCCTCCTTTGCAAGGTCGATCGTTTCGTATGCTACTCATGCCGGACAGAGTTATCTCGGCATTTTGTCTCTCAATACGGTTACCAAGACGATGTCCCAAGGCGCTGAGCCTTGACGAGAACGAATCTCACTTAACTTATTGCGGACAGCTTGTGGGTTGGTATACAAACAGCTGGAAGCCTCAAAGATTAGGATCATGTCTTTGCATGCGGATTTCATAGGAGATCCTATACCAACAGGCATCAGCAGTACGTCGGTACGATGTACCGACGCTTCGCTACCACGCAATCACCACCAGTCGCGCATGGACTAAGGATACTACGAGGGTAACCCAGCCTCATGTGCACGGTCGAACCCGCGAACTCCGGGTTGTAAGCAAACGCCTTTGTCCTTTTGGTCACGGTCGGTAGTTTACGCCGACCATTCTGGATCGGCTGCTAATTTCATTTTTATTGAGCCCTCGACGCCTGACTCAGGACCATTCCAAGTTGGTGTGTAGAATGCCCAGTGTCAGCATTTTGCTGATAACCTAGTCCTCCTTCAGCTGCGTTGGCCTTTTGTCAGTGTTCCTGTTCTGATCTGCATAGTAACGTTGCTGCCTACGTGACTTGCTCGTTCTTCAGTGTTGCTGTCTATTTGTAACCAGGTGTCCACTGCAAGGAAGCAGACAAGAGCTCTGAACAGAGCCTATTATGATAGTTACTCAGGTGACAACTAATGCAATACTCGTGGATATCTATTGGTTTACTAACGATATTGTGAGATGGGTCACTTAAGGTCCTGCTCCGAAACTGGGACGTATGTGTGTACGCAGTCTAAAGCTGAAAACGACGGTCAGTAATACATCAATATTTTTTTACGAAAACTAACGTTTTCTCAATAAAAGGTTGAGTAATATGTCTCTCTCTTGTAGAACTGCGCCGGTGGCTGTGTTGACCTTGTTACGCTACCATCCTGTGCGACTGTCTGCATTATTTTTTTATCATTACAGTTTCTAGATGTTGACGTATGGATGCACGCAGCTCCTATGGAGAGTGACACAGAAGCAGCCCAACTTCAAAAAGTGAGGTTTCATTTTATTTGCACAATTCGCACGCCAGATCTCCAGCATAAAGAAAAAGGAATAAGCACAGGATATGTGTGAGCAGGAGTGACTGTTGTTAAGGAGCTCGTTCACATTCTTTTACCACCCATGTACCAGACACACACGAATTGGTGAGTGCGTTATAACCCGTTCCGTGCTAAAGCTATGCTTCCAATCTAGCATTAGCATGAAGATCGTAAACTCCCATCTCCCTCAAGAACAGTTTACAGCTTCATGGAGCCAGCGATCGGGATGGTGAAATGAAACTGCTAGATACCTCGTCGAAGCTCGTATCCAGGACAGCCAACCGGACATATCAGTTGGAGAGCTATGTCCAAACCACACCACTGATCCCAACCGAAGCGGCAAGATGTAGCATATAGCTCCTCGACTCCGGTGCTGGCATTCGTAGAACAGTGCGGGACCAATGTGCACACTTCATAGATTCAAATGCACACGTATTGGCTTATCTTCGTGCTCGACGAGGAATGCGAGCGAAACCAATGGACGACAGCGTAATGCCTTTCCCGAAATTCACTTCGAAGCTACACTTGGTTATCAGACTATACAGGAGTAATCGAGCATAATGTATCGGCTACGAGTCGCCCTGATATTGAATACTGAACAACACGTGGTGTGCTTTATCCCACAATGGGATACCTCTCCGTTATTTCCCACGAACAGACGCTTAGTAATCGGCCGGTCACGTGAACTAGGTAGTAGATTCTTTGAATCCAACTGGGATTAATTTCTTCAAAACACCACCCAAGAATTGCACAGAAGACAACACTGTTCATACATTTACTTTTATCCTCAAATAAACGGACAGCGGTTACTTTTGGAACGTGGCCCGCTAAGCTGCCGTTCAGTTTGGATCTTCTGTTATCGCCTGGGTAGCTAAGCGACGTTCTATGCGAGCGGCCAGATTTTTCTTCTTCAAAACTTCTAACTTCGTCGCACTCCAAAAGTATGGAATGTAAACGCACATGAATTGCGTGACCAAATCAATCACTTCCGCCAGAGTGTACATTGTTATTCCGACGTACAAACCAGAAACGCCACCTAAATCACTGATGAACTTGATCACCGAGTATCCCGGGTTTTCGATTATCTGCAAAAGTGAGAATAAAACTGACGCATCAACAATAGCAATGCACCAATACTGCTTTGCAGCCCTACAGTCCGAATAACTTATTGAATGTAAACTACTAAGAGGAGGATAAGAGCGATCTAGTGTATAGTCTAAATGCTCTAGTTAAACATTCAGGGAAAGTAGTATGCATTTTGTGAACGGTACTAGCAACATTGATCAATCTACATCATTATACTTACCCGCAGAAAGAAGCGCGAATGCGGGAGCACTCTTTTTCTCACCACTCTAAAATACGAAGTTATTTCTAAGTACGGCATCCTAGTGAAAGACACGCAAACTGGAAACAAAGGACTTCCATCGCAACCAGACCGGACTTTAACGAGGTGCGATGGTATATGTACCTTTGTGATCCATTGAACTACGATGGGGGGCATTTTTCAAGTATCTTCAGAGTCACTCATGCCAAACCGGTCAGTGGTTAGATGTCAGAATAACACAATCTCGTAATCATCTTCGGAGGTTGCGAGAGGTCGACGGCCCTCTTCTTTTAAAACAAAGCCGTGTGAGACAACAGCTTTATGATTTGCTACCATCCGGCTCAAGTCAGACAGCTTCTGGTCAAATCAGTGCAAACCCGCCGAGTCTTACTTGCGGTTCGTCATGGTCGCAGGTGCGCAAGATACTAGGGTCCAAAAACGCACGAAAATTGTCCCAAAGCTTCATAGGCTGTGTATTAGGCCCCAAGCAGATCCCAATGGTTCTCTGCAATCACACTCCCGGAATGAACTTGTTCTCTACTGCTTTTTGGGTCGGACTATTGAGCCAAATGCCCTGAGTGGAGTCCTCAAGTGAACCTCCATCTAGCTTACTGCTTTGTGGGTTAGAGTGGGGTGTCAAGAGTAAGATGTAGGCCACCTCCAACAAAACCTCTCTCTGAACGGGCAGCCAGATAATATCAGCTGCCCTCCCTTCTCCAACAATAATACTTCCTTTTCTTGTCTTCTTCCTTTGCAACTTTCGTGCTCTCCGTCTATTGAGCAAGGCTTTGCTACTAACCACGCAACTAATGCTATCGATACATGTAACTCGTACCTCCAACCTGGGGTCTCATTTCACATTGGATCATTTAACATCTGTACTCTGGGTCAGGTAGTCAAACAGGCAGCACTAACTCCTCTCTTGGTATTGATGTGTGATTGTGACGCATGCAGGATAACTGCATCGTGACGAATTTTAGACTCACTGGTTCCTCAGCAACCACGTTGGAAGCAATCTACTCGTCTACATACCAGTGAGCAGCCGCAGGTATGCGGTTTGACCTTAAACCTCTGTTGGAGTTAATCAGCGCCGTTTACGCCCCCCAACAGACTGCAGTCCAGAGAATATGAAAGGCGAGTTCTATTTTCAGTTCTCATTATGTCTGCTGGTGACATTAAGGTCCCCGTAGGTCGGACTCCGAGCCATGCTTGGGAGACCGCTTTAGGGTCGATACACGCCGCACAGGCAATGATAATCGACTCCTGCAACTGTGTACCGAGCACAATCTTGATCTTATCAGCACTGCTTTCCAGCACCAGCTTTCACATCGCGTCCTCTGGCACCTACTTTACTCCTCAGTGACCTGGACCCACACGGACCATAGTGCCATCAGCTACAGACGGCGCATGTCAGTACAAGGCTGTCGGTAGATTTCGAGTGCATACTTGGCGCCCACTCTTCCCGCTTCAAAGAAGCACTGAAATTCTAAACCTCTCACTGGTAACGAGCTTGCAGTCTGCACTTGGACAATATTCTGACGAACTGATCCATCAGCTGTCATTGACGAAAGAGGTTAGTGAGCCGAACGCCGACTGTGATCGCCTCAAGTGTGTATGAAGAATGCTTTTGACGCATACTGTCCGCCGAATTTGAGACGTCCTAACTGCGTATGAATGTCTGACTTATCGTTCAGTTTGCTCGAAGCGCTGAAACAGGTTCCGTTGGGTATTGGGATTCAGCATCTTCTTAACGCTTTGAAACGATGATTGACAAAGAATCGTCCTTTCAACTGGGTTCGTTGGTGCGTGGTAAGGGCCCGCGAAATGGAAAGCCAGTGTTATGGGGAACAGCCGAGTGTTGTAGCTCATGCGGAACACTAATTCAAGGAAACCATCAGTTATTGTGCTAATAGCTGTGAAATATTGCTAGCTGACGCATTCTCAGCCTCACCGAGTAGTCCATTGGGTGCAACATTTTGAACAGCAGTTCAGCAGAGATTTTATAACTCTGCCACTCGTTGAATCACCTGTGGCGATGTGGGAACTTAATGTCACACCTCCTACTTCAGAAGGGATTCGATAAGAGCTCGCAGTATTAAAACAAAACGACGCTCAAGAACCTGACGACTTCCCTTCATCTTCGTTGAAACATGGTGACTATCTGTTGACTGGACTCGCTGCCCTGTTCAACATGATTTGTGACACTGTAGTGGTGCTTTCAGACTAGCCACTGCCAACTGCTAAAGCGAGTCCACGGACTTTGCGCGAAAAAGCACATTAATCTTACTTCTATTACCTCCAAACTTCTCACAGATATCATTCTTCGATTTACTGGTCCTTGTGAGAACCAGATCACTGTAAGCAAAGTAGGATTTTACCCTGGTCGTGGTTGCACCGACCACATGCTTACCCTTCCTCAAGTGTTAGAACAGATGCATTTACTGATGACTGACTATGATGCTTTTCCTAGACCTGAAAGTCGCCTTCGACTCTATTGATCCTTCTGGCTCGTGGCACCGACAGTCCGTGAAAGCAGTGCCTGAAAAGCCCCCCTTCCATGTATAAGTTACTCTACCGGGATTCACGAGTCCGAGTACGGATCTACGGGTGGCTGTCTCCTGAGTTCCCCACGACAAGTGGGCTTCGCCATGGTTGCTCTGTATTTCCTTTCCTATTTAAATTTTTGGTCCAAGTGATTATAAATGACTCCATTATTTTGGGCTATTCTGGCATAGAAATTCTGCTGGTAGAAAAACTGATCAACCTTATGTATGTAGACGACCTAGCTCTCCTTGTGTCTGAGGCAATGACTATGCAAACACAACTGAATAAACTGGTGCGTAACGTTGCACCTTTCGGCATGTGCTGTGTGTCTTCAAGGTGCAAGTTGTTGCAGGACTGGATCGATACGCCATGGTTCTGCCTATAACAAACAGCCATTGGAATTGACGCGTTGGTTTATTTGTGACGGTGTCCAACTATCTGGGGATCGTAAACATCTGATCAATACTCCTCCGACCTGTAAGAAAGCCCGCTTGGTCATCGCATATGCGCTGTTTGCGTACTTGACTGCGTCTCCATATGATCAAGGAAGCGAGTACAGGACGCTACACACGGGACTAATCCATCGGTACCTGGTGCAATCAGTTAAGTCACCTCTTTGGAAGACGGGCACGATGTCCTCTAAGCTTCAATCAAGTGAATAAAGTTCTGTGGTCCAAATATGAAGGAGGGTAGTTTATTCAGAAAGGAATGAGGGACCTCGATCTTTGAAATGGACAGAGGCAATTCATCAAAACCAGGAGATTTGTGACACTTCAGAAAACGAAGCTCATAGGCAACCTTTATCTCGGATGGTGGAGAGGGGTTTACACATCTGGGCGCACCGTGGATATAACAATGGCAACTCGAGAGCGATGGTGGCCAGGGTTTCACTTCGATATCACTAATGTACCTCGTATGAAGAAAAGAACGTTATCAACAGTACGCCGGTACGCAATACTGACGCTTTGTGGCCGCGCAATGAACAATAAATTTATGCGATTTAAGATGCATTGCTTTACAAGTCCTGTTGGGTAGTTTGGTGGGGTTCTCGAAAAAATACTAAAAAACAGTACTTTAAGTATGAAAAGAAAGACTCATCGTTTTTTTATGCTCCCATTCTGTAATCTGCACACTTTTACGGCACCCACAGTTAGCCGCAAGTAAGTCCAAGATATACTTCAAGAGTGGGATGGAGACATAGTGCTAAGTAACAAAGTGTAAGGGGCTGAATGCGTTGTCCAACCGTCTTTTAAATATTGTAGGTGCCGATGCAGGAACGACAGATTCAGGAAGAAAATTTCGCGGGTAACATACACGAATGAAAAAGACGTTCCTGCAGCGCTCCAGACGCCTACACTGTTCCGTGAGTTTCAATGAGTTGCAGTAAGGAGCAGCTCACATGATGTAGGTCGTGCGGTATCAAGTAAGCCACTACAACTTCGCCTCGTAAGCTGCGATATCATCCGTTGAATCTGCCTAATCGTTTCAGCCTCTGCTCGTATGGAAGATTGCACATTCTAATGACGTACTTGGATGCCTGATGTTGAGGCTGCTCTGGTGCAGTGAGGTCGCGTTTTAGCCACGGATACCAGGCTTGAATTTCGTATTTAACGAAGCGGTGAACATATAGAATGAGCATTTTTCGAAAAATAGCGTGGTCTATTTATCAGAACGCCTGCCGCAACAGCCTGACCCACTGATTACCAGACTTCGTGGCCTTTTTGGATTGCCGCGAACAACCTAAGTCAACTCGAACCAGCACACCCAGATCAAATTCGACGGCAGATTCCTGCAGCACGTGCGTTCCCAGCTTATATGAGTAGTTGGTCTGATGACGGATGGAGAGTACCTTGCATGTACTCACGTTGAATTGCAGTAACGTTTGGATTGACCACCGACGTGCCGTATCCAGGTCACTCTGAAGCCGAAGCTGGTCGGCATTCGCCTGAATCCTGCGACAAGTCTTGATGTTTTAGGCAAAAAGTAGGAAGTTTGAAGCGATCGCCTTTGCGTGGTTATTAATAAACACCAAAAACTACCGTGGACCGAGAACTGAGCTTTGCGGCACGACACACTCGACTTGTGTGGGGTCAGATAAAGTGGTCCGAACTCGAACTGCTAAATGCCGTTGAAGGATAAAGTTGGCAGTCCAGCTTAAAAGCCTGTTACCGATCCCGAAATGCTGGAGCTTGGAAAGGATAATCCGATGATCTAGAC